TGCCACTCATTGAATTTAGTATCCAGAAACGTTGGCCTAGGGCATTGCACACGGACTTTTCAAAGGACCTCAGTTCAGAGCATCACTGTGGGCTCTGGTAACCTGGAGGTGGGGTGGCACTCAGCAGGTGACAGACAGAAATAGCCACAGAGAGAAATATATTACATATTTTCCCAGTTTTAAAATGCTGGGATCCTACAATGCCCATCCTACGTTATGTGTGAAACAAAGCCCCTTCGAGGTCACAGTCTCATCTGTTCTTATGACATTCCCTGAAGCAGGTGGGGATCGTCATCCTTGTTTCACGGTTGAGCAGATGAAGCTCTGAGAAGCTCTGTGGCTGATTCAAGGTCCCATAAGTTGAAGCCCCGCCAGGCCTTGATTCAGATGCCCTGACCCTGGTGGCTCTGGAGGTTTCCTCCTGGGCACGCTGTCAGCCGCGTTCCCTGTGGGTGTGTGGGAGGGAGGCTCCGTCTCCCAGGAGATGTGATCCAAGTGTCCTTGCTGTCCCTGTAGCAGGAGGGATGACAGATTGGAGGCCCTGGGAGTTCTGCCAGCCTGGCCATCCCAGAGCAAAGGCCATAAGCAATGAGTGGCAGATTCTGCCAGAGAAATGCTACATGGGCCAGGGTGTCAGGTCCCAGGTGGCTGGCCAGTGTAGTTCTGTCTGGCTCCAGGTGTGCAAAGGAAGGGCCATACGGTTAGGGGCCTGCTTAGGCTCCCTGAGGGGACAAACAGAGTTTCATTTATTGAGCTCTGAGTATAAATCGGGAAGTGTGCTGAGCACACACATGTCTTAGCTACGAGATAGACACTGTTATTTACCTATTTATGGTTGAGAAAACTAAGGCACAGGACTGGATGCGGGCTGAGTAGAAAGGGCACAACTTACCCCGAAGAATCAACTGGTAATGGTGGCACTTTATAATTCAAGGGATACCTGAATTCTCTGGGTGGTCAAGGCCAGTGTCCCTCTTACCCTCCTGGACCCAGGGCCTGTGCTCTGAGCTCCTAGTGCCCTGTCTCTCCAGACCTGAATGCAGGGACTGAACCAGGAGTCTGGTGGCCAGCCTGGGCCACACCCCAGGAATGCTGGAATGAAGCCTCTTCTCCATGGCCCCTAATCCTTCCTTGCACTTCACGGCTGTGCCACCCCCGGAGCAGTTAGCAGTTACCCATCTTACAAACAGCACTGCAGCACCAGGGGAGGGGAAGGCAGGGTGTGCACAGAGATGAGCCCACCCGGCCCCTCACTTCTGCCCAGCAGCAATGCACAATTTCAGCAGCCCGAGCCCTCACCATACTGACGGTACCCAGGAGTCAGGCTTTGAGGCTGGGGGAGAGATTTGGGGGAGGTGAGATGAGCCCAAGGGGATGGGTGGGGGACCCTCCCTTCGCATCAAGCCAGAAGGAAGGGGCTTTAAAGAAAGCCTTCAGAGCCTTCCAGGTGTCCCCTGCAGTTTGAGAAATCCAGCAGATGAGTCCCAGCCCCACCTGCGAGGTCTAAAGCACAAGAGACAGGCTGGCTGCTTTGCCGGCAGAGCCAGGAAGAAGGCTGCTGGCCCAGACAAGAGCCTCGTGGGAGGGAGGGTCAGCTGGAGGCTGCCTGGAGGTGTGGACAAGCCTCAGCTGTGCAGAGATGGAGCTGCCTGGGGCGGGGGGGCTCCTTGGCACCCCTGAGACCTACGTGAAGTACCCTGGTCAGGGGGAAGCTGCAGAGGTGCCCAGTGGTGGCCAGGCTCTGAGGACACATGGAGGTGCCCGCAGGAGGGAGAGGTATAGTTTCCAACCTCTGCCAAACCCAGAGTGACGTTCAGGACAGCTCCAGTGGGAGGCCCCAGCCCACCTGAGCTGGGCGGAGGCCTGGGCTGTGCAGCAGGAGGGCTGGCCTTGAGCAGGGCCCGGACCCCAGCTGAGACTGTTGTGTGAGGTGTAGTGAACCGCCGTATCTCCCTACCAAGCGGCATCCCGGGTCTGCTAGGTTTCCATCCAGCCGCTGGGCGGCGGGCAGCGGAAGAGGTTTCCAGGGCCAGTGGAAGACCCAAATAAGGCTGCATTCGGTGGCTTTCCAGTTCCACAGCTGTGCCAGCTCATGGTGACACCGGAGTGCTGTGGTGTCCAGGGAAGCACTGTTTTGGGGCAACAGACGTTTCTTGAGCTCCTGTGGGGAGGGGTTTCCACATGCCTGGTGAGACCCACCTCTACCCAGAGGGGGCCTTCCTCACAGGCAGGGGCTCTTGGTGGAGCAAGGGCCCAAACCCTGAAACTGTATTGAACATCTTTCTGTCTGTCTCTGTCTGTGTGTCTGCCTCTCTGTGCCCCTCAGCCAGGGGAAGGCAGAACCAGGGCCCGAAAGGATCCGGAAGAAACATACAGACTGGGGACTCCATGGGGCCAGGTTTGGGGTACTGAGGAGGAGGGGTTTGAACCTGGGCCTGGAGTGGAGAGGATTGTGTGTAACAATTGAGGAAGGTCCGGAAGACCCCCAAGGCTTGTGGGTAGGGGTGGTGTGAGCCCCTCACCAAGATGGGATTAGAGTGAGGCCCTGAGCCAGCTCAGATGGCTTGCCACTGCCTCTTCTCAAATGCAAGCTACTCAGCCTTCCTCCAGGCTTGAAATGAGCCCCTCCTTCCCCCTTCCACACTCCTGCATCCCCGGGCTCGCCACTCTGCAGTGAGGAAAACCACAGCTGAAGCCTATCAGGCTGGAGTTCGTGGCCGACAAGGCAAGGTCATCCTGAAGCCTTCCTTGATCTTTTTCGGGTCTGATGCACTGCCAAAGAATCTCCGGAAACTCCCAGACATTCTCAGGGAGAGTTAGCCGCTGCCCACGTGCCCACACCACTGTCGGGACTGCTGAGGCTCACGTGGGGAGCCCTGCTCTGGGGTGTCCTTGACCTCCACGCTCTCCTGCCCTTTCTCATCCCTGCATTCCCCACAGGCCTGTGTGGGACCAGCTGGAAGCGCTCTAGAAAAGCCCCCGAGGGCGCTGGGGGAGGAGGGAGGATGGGGGTCACAGATCACGGTGGGGCACCCCCCCATGTGTGTTTTATGAGGTGCACCCCCTTGGTGGCAGCTGAAGTGGGAGGTACCCCAGGCCCAAGGGCATGGGGGCCTGGCGGGGGAGGGCGGCTGCCCTGTTTTCTTGTAGCTGGAAGCTCATTAGCTTGTTAATTCAGAAGAAAGCATCTCTGGGTAGCGGAAGTTCAGTCCTGACGCCAAACCTGGGGGGAGGGGCCTTCTCTGGTTCCACCTCCGAGCACCAGGCCATAACTAAGGTCAGGCCTGTCCCGGACAGCACACTGGCAAGTGTCCAAGTTGATGTTTGGAGCGTGGGAGGTTTGGCGGGTCTTAGCCGTGTGTTCACTTAGGGGTGAAAGGAACAGGCTTTTTGCACCAGCTTTGCCACTTTCTAGCCTATGACCTTGGGCAAATCCTTTAACTTTTCTGGGTCTCACTTTCGTCATCTGCAGAGATAATGACACTTCCCTGCCAAGGCCACGGTGAGGACTCAACGTGTTCAGGGAACCCCTGCTTGTTCAGAGCCAAGGTCACCAGGTGAAAAGGCCCCCAGGCTCTCAAGGAGCTCGGCCTCTGAGCCTGACCCTGCAGCCGCCCTCACCTCTTCCAGGCCACAGCCATGGGCGGCGGAAGGGGGACCAGGGTCTGCTGAGTTCCTGCCTGGCACGAGGCCCAGGCGGTCCTGGAAGTCCAGCGGGGCCAGACACACGGGCTGCCTCCTGTCTAGAAATAGTCGTCCTCCCTCCATGGGCAAACAGCTCCAGACTATTTTCTTCCTCCCACAATCTGAAAGTTGGAGCTGATTGGCTGGCTCAAAGAAAAAAAAACACCCAAAAACAAAAAAAGAGAAGGACGTGCAAGTGCTCTTGTGTGCCCAGAAGAGGGGGTGTCTCAGGGCTCTGTTTCCAGGGGAACCAGTGGCACAGGCTGGCTCCTTCCTCAGGGTGCAGAAAAGAGAAACTTGGCTGAGGTTTCAGGCACCTGGCTCCTGGGTGGTTTCCCTGGGGGATGAGCAAATGCCCAGGAGTCTGCCCTCCTGAGGGGCAGCCAGGGTCCCCCCTCCCCAGGATGCTCAGGGGCCCTCACCCCTTTCCTCCACCACCACAACCCCCAGGAGGTCTGGTCAGGTCCCTCAGCTGCCCTGATGTGGTCCCAACCTGAGACACAGACAATGGGAACAGACGCCAGGCTCCCTGGAGTGTATAAGGAGCTCAGGTTTGGAGAGGGCTCCCCTACGGCAAGGCCCCCGCGTGCGGTGAAAGGAGATAAGTAAGCGTGGGGCACCCATGAAACTAGTTGAAGGACCCCTGCCTGTGACCCACGTGACGTGGCCCTGGTAGCCATCACCATCTCTGGGTGGTGAGCCCCCATCAGTGGGGCCATTGAGGGCCCAGTGCCCAGAGCGATGTCCCCATCAGGAGGATGCTCCGGACGCCAGGGGTGCCCAGGGGTCATCTGCAGGGTGGCTGGAGGGACACCAGGGAGATCCCCCTCCACAGCCCACCTTGACTGCAATGGCCCGAGGTCATTGGGGGGGGGGTGTCACTCCACCTGGTGTCCATAGGAACCAGTAGGATGAGAGAGGGGGCAGCAAGGAGGGGAGGGCTGGCCTCTGCGCGCTCCACTGCCACGCCTCCCCGTGCTGGGACAGGAACTTGTGCCGGAGCTCCCTGCCCCCAGCCCGGGCTCTCGGCAACCCCCCACCTCTCCCCGCTCCAAGGTTGGGGAGCAGAGTGTATGCTACAGACAGACGGGGCGGGGGAGGGGGACACAGAGAGAGAGAGAGAGAGACCCCCGGCGACAGGCTGAGAGGGCAGGGTTAGGAGTGGTTTATACCCAGAGAATAGGACGGAGAGGCTGGGAGAGAGACGGAAAAGATGCGAGAGGGAGAGGGAGAGACACACACGGTGGGAGGTTGAGGGGGGGAGGAGACAGAGCAGAAGGGGCGGAGCTTAGGGTAGAAGCGCGCAGGGAGGGCGGGTGGACAGGGGGCGGGAGCGGAGCCGCCGGTAACAATTACGTCTGGGTCCCAGCAAACATGAGGCAGCTGCCCGCCGGGCCCAGCAGTCCTGTTCTCCTCGGCTGCGCAGTGGGGAAGCCGGCAACAGTTTCCTCCGGTGCCCAGGATGCAGCGGGCCAAGGTAGGCGCCGGCGCGGGTGGAGAGCGGGAGCTTCTGGGGGTTGCCCCGGACCAGGGAGCCTTGCTGTGCCTCCACCTTTGACCCCAGCCCCTGCTGTCTCCTGTAGGGTCGCTTTTGGGAAAGTAAGTGTTGGGGTGTCCTGGCTGGGAGGCTAGACTCCTGGGGCCCCGTTTGGACGGCGGGGGCTTTAGGTATTTGTGGAACTGAAGCTGGACGGAGGAGGAGCTTGGGGTCAGCCACCTGGTTCAGTTAAGTCCCTGGGAGTGCTGACCCTGAGCCTGGGCCCATGGCCTTTTGCGTTGGGGGAAGGCTGAGTGCTGGGAGGCCGTGTCTTACGCTCGAAGGCTGGTCAGTGAGTGCATCGTCTAATTATCCAAGTAATTAATGAGTAGCCACTTCCTAAAGGGCTAGGAGACCCCTGACAAGGACGACTGTGATTAGTTCCCACTCTGTGGGGCTCTTGGGAGGTTGGAGACAGAGAGTGCAAGGAAAATGCCTGGAACAAAGTTCAAGAGATGGTAGCGAGGTGTTGGGAAGGATGAAGGATAATTAAATGAAGAATAAAGAGGGAAAGGAAAATACGCTAACCCCCAGAATAGTTAACACTCAGAACATCTGTCCTGATGCCTGGCCAGTTCCCCACGTGTTTGGGACAGTCTTGCTTTGGAGGGAAGAAGAAAGACCAGGATTAGATCTGGCTGATCGTAACAGAACAGATAACAGTGGTTTGAGCAAGGTTGCTTGCACTTATCTCTCATGCAGAAGTCCGGAGGGAGGTAATAGAAGGCTGGCACGGAAGCCCTACGGTCAGCAGGGACTAGGCTCCATCTGTCTCACTGGCTTCTATTCTTGAGGCTACGTTAAGGTCCAAAATGGCTGCTGGAGCTCCAGCCAGCACATACAGGCAGCAGGAAGTAGAAAGAAAGGCAAAAATAAATCTTGACTAAAATCAAGGTTTTATGGGTAAGGAAGAATGGATACTGGGCTGGCATCTGGCAGTCTCCCCCAACTCCACCCCATCCCCCCAGAGATGGATTCCTGCCTCTCTGTCACCCATGGGGTCTTGTGGCTGCTGATTCCAGGCCGTACTACCCCAGAGCCCCAGGCCACCCCTGCTCTGTCTGCTCCCTTGCTCAGGGGTGCCAGGAGGATTGGCAGAAGTGCTGACAGGAAACCCTTCGAGGCTGGCGACAGGGCGTGTTGAGAAGGTATTTTCTCTCCAGGCACCTTAAGTCTCTCCCACAACCTTCAGGCAGACAGGGCAGAAGTAGAGAAACTTAGCACCTTGTTGCACGCACGCCCACATGCCATGTGCTCACTGCACACACGTGCCACAGCTGGCACAGGTCACACGAATCCAGGGTCGTCAGTATGAGCGTGCAATGCACAGCCACGCCCTGTGACTGTGCCCACAGCTGCCTGTGCTGCCTGCGTGCACACAGAGGTGGGGATTTCCACAGAGTCAGGCTGCACGCAGGTGTGCACGCAGCCCACCCTGTCCACCAGGCATGGGACAATCCTCCTCCTCTTGCCTTTCCTCTGCTGGCCCTACCTGCCAGGAGGCCACTCCCTGTCCCTGCCGGATGGGTGGAGTGAGTGGCTCAAGTCCCACAGGTGCATCTGCCCCTTCCCTTGGCCATTGTGACCCCACACTGGCCTCCGCCTTCCCTCACAGCCGGGCCCCAGCGGATCTCGCGGTGCCTGCCGGGGGCCTTCCTGCAGCTGGGCTGGCCAGAGGCTGGAGTGGGCCCCTCACCTTCTGGTGCTGGGCCAGGCAGGGACAGTGGTCAGAGGGAAGCCACCATTGGGTCCCTCACCAAGGTCAGCAGAAGGATTATGAAAATCACCTTCACCTCTAGTGGCAACAGGGACTACAGTTCAGAGCACAGGCTGGGAGTTGCCTGACTCATCCACCCTCAGTGCCTGTCACTGTCATTTGTGGATCCTCACAATGTCCTGGGAGGGCAGGCACTGCCACTTCCCCTTTCACAGACACGAGGCTCCAGTGCGGTGGGGACAGGGGGTGGGGGTGGGGGCTCGTCCAGCCCACCACCAGGACTTGAGCTCTGTGAACTCTTAGGAGAAAGGAGCAAAGAGAACTGCAGGCTCTGCTCCTGGGTCTTCAGGGAGTGATGTCTTCATGACCCGGCATGTCCATCAGGACCTGCTACCTGCTCCGGTTCCTGCCTTCTTGTGGGGCATTTGTGGGAGGTGGGCCCTAATCTTCTCCCCTATTTCCAAAGTAATCAGAGCCCTGAACTGTACTGGGGAGTGTGGTGGCTCTGACTCTTCTCTAGGTGGAGCCTGGGACAAGGTCAGGGCTGAAGGGCAGGAGCCCTGAGGTGGCCACTCCTCCCTCCATGGTCTTTCCAGCAGGCTCTGCACCTGCATTATTCCCCTGGACCCCCAGGCAGCCCCGAGGTCGCTCTTGGTATTGCACTCCCTTTACAGATGAGGAAACTGAGGCCCACCCATGATTGCAAGCTATAAAGTGTTACAGCTGGGATTTGAACCCTGCTCTGTCTTGCTGTAAATCTCAGTTGCCTAGGGCTTGGGGGGATGGATGGGGAGGTCATGGGAGAAGGCTACAGGGAGAGAGGGGCGTGCCTGTGACCAGGCAGCTGAGGAGGTGCCCCATCCCTGTGGGGGCTGGCTCCATGGAGTTGTGGCCTGTTGCACCCTCCGAATCCTTTAGAGAGTGCACATAAGTCAGATCCCACCCCTGGCCATGTCTCCCGATTAGCCATGTGACCTTGAGCCAGCCACAGCCCCTTGTCTGGGCTGCAGATCCAGAGCTGCAAAGGAAAGGACCCCAGCGTTTCGAAATCAGGAGCCCTTTTCTCATCAAAATCTTCTGCAAGAGAGGGAGCTGCTTTGCCACCTCGGGCTGGCTTGGGGCCCACCTACTCTCCCGCCCCACCCCAAGGCATCTCTGGTGATGGCCAGGAGTGCTGCAGAGCCCTGAATGTGGCCTCTGTGAGGAAGAGGGGCAACCTTGGTTTCCAAGGCAAAGAAAGGAGAAGGGAAAGAACTTGGCAAGTCTTCCTTTGCTGGTCCTCCAGCCCCGGGCCGGAAGGAGACAGAGCAGAAAGGAGGGTGCAGTGTGGAGTGAGTCACTGTGTCGCCCTCCCCATCTCCCCATCCCCAGCTTGATGTTTCCCTGGAACGGGTGCATCTGTCAGCTGTGATCAGCCCACATCCTAGAGCGCCACAGAGCGGCCATGTGACAGGGAGAGAACCAAGGGGACCTGCAGGCACCAGAGTTGGAGGGGCATTGCTGAGCTGAGCTGGGCAGGACAGCTGAGAGGGGCCTGTCCCGTCTCCCGGTTGGCCCAGCCTCCCCGCTCTGATCTGTTGCCTGAAGTCTCTGCCCAGCCCTGCCCTCCATCAGGCTGGCCCGCGCCTGTGCCGTGCTCAGCTAGGCAGAGTAGCTGCTGGCCTTAGCCGGCCTCATCTCCAGCTCTGCGGCCGGCCCCTGTCCTCCCCTGCTTCCAGCTCATGCCTCCGGGGCGGGCAAAGGATAAATCTGAGTCCCGACTGCTGGTGCTATGCCTGGCCCTGTTTTAAGATCCTCTCTTGGGACTTCCCTGGTGGTCCAGTGGTTAAGACTCCACGCTTCCATTGCAGGGGGCGTGGGTTCGATCTCTGGCTGGGGAACTAAGATCCCGCATGCTGTGGGGTGAGGCCAAAAAGAAATCCTCCCTCAAGATGGGCACTCTGGGCAGTGAGCCCAGAGAGCCACATTCTAGCCCCAACTCTGCCCAAGTGACTCTGTGAGCTCGGGCAGGGTCCATCCCCTCCCTGGGCCTCAGTCTCCCCATCTGAGCCTCAGATGCGCTCATAGCCTCTGCCAGACCCCCACTTGAGGTCGGGCCCTGTGCTGAGCAGTGGGGCCTGGGTGTAGAGGTGGGGGGGCCACCACCAAAAGCTCCAGGATGCTGTGATGCAGATTGCCCCGCCCCACACATATGCCTCCTGGCCTGTCACGAGGCCCACCTCCGCTATTTGTAAATGAGGAGCCCGGCCAGGAGCGAAGGTGGTTGCGGAGATAACACAGCTGCACCTCGACAGCTGTTAGCCCAGCTCTGCATCAGTAGATCTGGGCTCAGTCCCAGCCCCCTCGCGCCCTAGCTGTGTGTCCCCAGACAAGTTATTTAGCTCCTCTGTTCCGTGGTCTCCCCATTTTCCTGGAGGAAATATCAGCGACCTCCTAGATAAATAAGATCCTACACCAGCCCGCTTAGCACAGCCCCTGGTGCATCGCAAGAGCTCCGTAAATGGTGAGAGTGTCAGTGTTATCATTTTGGGATTACTGAGTAGAGCCTGGGAAGGGCACTCCAATGGGAGAATGTTGTCAGTGAGTAGCTCGGAGTCCACCCCTGGGTTGATGAGAAACCCTCATTGCCTGGGCAGCAAGAGGCACGTGAAGAGCTAGTGTCCTGGCCGAGGTGGCAGCATTAGAGGCAGGGCAGGGACAACCCAGTCTTCCCCTCCCCTGCTCCAGTGCTCTGGGAGGGGCGGCACCCAGGCGTGTGTGTGTGTGTGTGTGTGTGCGTGCGTGTGCACGCCTGTGTTCTTCAGGGACTCATGACAATCTCAGCTCCCTGCTCAGGAGGCAGGCCGCCTGGCCCGTACCTGTTGGTGCTCAGGGGTGGGAGGAGAATCGAGGCTCCCCGAAGCCTCCCTATCCCAAATCCTCGGGGCCCGCACGACACAACGCCCATTGCCACTTCCTGCCATCTGTCCCAAGTGCTGGAAATACAGCACGCAAAGATGAGTGGGCGCTCAGTGAGCTTGCCTGAAGGAGCACCCATGGATGGGGTCAGAGCACCAGGCAGCCCCGCAGCTCAGCAGGGCTGCAGGTCCCCGCTGGCCCAGGCTCTGGCCTCGAGGCAGCCCCAGCCCCCCCCCGGGAAGGAGGGAGATTGCGAACCCCAGACTCCTTCTTCCCGCAGACAAGGCCCAGAGTTTCCTATCCGGTGGGATAAGCCCTCTAAACC